AAGGACTAAAAAAAATATGAAGAATGGACTAAAAAAGTATATTAAAAAACTAAAGGATGAAAATTATATAAAATATTAAAATTGAGGACTAAAAATGAAATTTGCCCTTTTTAAATTTGAATTGATTTGAATTGTAGCGGGCATCTATACCAAAAAATGGAAGATTGACAAGTCAAGACAGTTGGACACGAGAACAGAGGAGGATTTGCACGATCGAAATTGCAGGGTTGGCCAAAACGATGTCGTTTTGGCTAGGAAATCTTTTTATTTTTTATTTTTTTTAATTCTTGCATATTGTACCGGTTAAATTTCGGTGTATCGACTGGTATGCCGAAATTTCGGCCAGTACACCAAAATTTGACCGAAATCACTGAATTTTGACCGAAACGAAATTCATTCTTACTCCGTTTCGGTCTACTCTAAAAACCGATACATACCGGCCGGTACGGTATTTACTTCTTTGCTACAAACCGGTCTCTCATCTTCACTCTCTGCAAAATCAATCTAACTCATATCTTTTTATTCTCTGAATGCTCTCTCATTTCTACTCCATCTGCAAAATTGATCTTAACCCATTTCTTTTTCTTCTTCTTTGAATGCTCTCTTATCTCCACTCCATCTACAAAACCGATCTTAACCCATTTCTTCTTCTTCTCTTTTCTCGGGGAAACTTGAGTTACTGGGTTTCATTGAACCCTCAAACCTGGCAGATCTTATCAAATCAAATTAACCCTTCAATAAACAATACCAATCAAACTCTAATCGAATTCCAACAAAAATACAGTCAAACTTTAATCAAATTTTAACAAAAATGCAATCAAATTGTAAATTAACTCCTAAATTTATTAACAATTGGAAATGGAAATCGGAAGAAGAATGAAAAAACATGAACCCTGCATCGAAACAGCAAGGCTGGGTTCATTGGAATCCAGATTGTTGGGTTTCGATGAACCCAGATAGGCTAGGTTTCGACAAAACTAGCAAGGCTGGTTCACACCACCAGCAAGGCTAGGTTCGTTGGAACCTAGCCGATCTGGGTTTCGACGAAACCAACCTTAGACAAAACCAGGCTGGTCGCGCGAACCAGC